ACAGATGCTAATTCACTCCCAGACTCCAGATAAACCCACTTGGCAGATTCATGTAGATGCCGAACCGCATGGGGGACAAAACCAACCCCCAAGGAATCCCATGCTGAGAAGGCAGTGGCCTGACTTACATAAATTGACATCAACTTGGTAACTGGTCAGCTAATCATGGCTTGCTCAAAACTTTGTGGCTCACAGCTGAATGTGACCTGAATAGAAGAATAGCATGTGGGGTGATATGAAAAGTTGCCCTGTGACTTATTCTCTGTGATGGTTCGCAAGCCATTGCTTGGCCTTGCAGTCACTGAGTGGCAGTGTAATCTCAAAAGGTAACAATAAATAATGAAAGAGATCTTAGGATCAGTTCACATACACGAGCCAAAGAAGTTTCTACACAGCAAACCTTTTGGGTATAGCAGCTTGCCATAGACCCTGAGGGTGTTGTTGTGGTTGTTGTTTTTAAATGAAAAATGGGAAAAAATAGAGTTCTTCGTATTTAGAAGTCCTGGTTTGAACCACCATATCTCAACCATGAATTAGGGCTGCCATTTATCTGGCAGTCCTCTCAAGTTTAACAGCAAGCAGGTCCAACATGGGCATCTCCATGCTGGGTATTAGCACACCCACTGAATTTTGCTGCTGGTAGTGAGAAATTTGTTTTAGTTTGCCTGGAGAGAGAATTTTCCAAACTTTGCAACTCTTCCCACATTTGGGAAGGAAAAAACTTGAAATGTAAAAAAGAAAAAGAAGATGTGGGAGAAATAGAATTGTCCCCTCATAGGTACCGGATCGGTCTGACAGGCACAAGCGGCTGCCCAGGAAAAGCCCTTGCCAGACAGAACTGCGTTTGTGCACGCGATTTGAAGGTGGCTGCTTTTAAAAGACACGGTGCCCTGCTATTTTCCCTATCAGTGAATCGTCTGTGAACACAGGTCGAAATATTTGGCATGTGGATCCCCACTGCACTCGAGATGCAAACCGTTTCAACATCTTGGGCTGGATCCAGTATCTATCTTGTGTTGACACAGGTGCTCTGTTCACAGAATGCATTTCCTCCCAAAGTTCTGGGTTCCTTCCTCCTCACGCACCGCGGCTCACCCCGTTCACCAGGGTCCCCTGACCTTCTGTGCAGGACTTTTGGAGGAATTAAGGAGCTGCCTGAGGAGGAGTAAGGGTGGCCTGCTCCTTGCCAAAATGGAGGAAATGCCTCACCAGAAGCTGAGCAAAAGAGCGCAGCCATTTCCATACAGCTTTCGTGTACAGCTGATTTATATGCCTAGAGGCTAATTTAGAAAATATTTTTATTTCAATAAAAATCCAGCCTATCATATCACATGTAGAACCCTGTGTATCTTGATGATCATTCTTTTGCCTTAGTGCTCACTGTTGCCAGATTATGGTTCTGATGATTCTTTATCTTTAAGCTGGAACTGGACATGGCACCCCTAGAAAAAGAGGACTGTCCTCTGTAAAGAAGACACATGGTCACCCTATGTTGGGAGGTAGAGAAGTCCACTTCTTCCAGTTATTGCTATGTGCTGCTAAGTTGTTTCTGACTGATGGAGAGTCTATGAAGGCACATTCTCCAAAATGCCCTGCTTTGCACTGAGGATCTGGGAGATCTTGATTCTATTTCCCACTCAGTCACCCTGAAGCTCAGTCTCTTGCCCTCAGCCTAACCTACCTCACAGGGTTGTTGTTGTGAAGATAAATTGGAGTGGATGAGAATGATGTAAGCTGCCCTGGGACCCTCAGAAGAGGGGGGAGAGACAACATATAAATGCGATGTAGTAATATGAATAATAAATTATAGGACACACAAACCCATTACTTCTGTCCAGCTAGTGGATAGTCATACACGTGGCACTCAGTGCAATACACTAGACTGACCCCACGGCCCTGCTGGCTAGCTATCTCCATAACAGTTTTCTTGGTGTTATTGTTGGGTTTGATTACCTAGAAAGCTGATCCTTTACTAGGAAAAGGAGGGGAATTTATTTATAGTCATTTGCTGATACTTATAGCTATTTACCGATGGGTTGATAGCCCTGGCCACTTCGCCCTGTTGCTAAGCAAACACAAGTGCTTAAGTGATGTGTTCTGACACTTTGTCACTGGGGCCGAGATGCTTCCTCCGTGGCGCTCCTCAGGCTTAGAGAGCTGGTCTCCTTGCAAGCCTGCCCCCCCCCCCCCGCTTACTCTCAGGATCTTGGCCCAGCTGCTGCTGCTGCAGCCAGCTTAATTAGAGGGCTTCATGTGAAAAGCAAAAATTGGCCTCAGCTACTGCAGTAACTTCCAGCAAGTGGGAATGTAGGCCAGTTGATGCCTCAAGAGTTAGGGATGTGACCATTAGGCCACATTCTGGCTCCCTTGTGTTCCCCAGACTTCTTTCCCACACTGGGTCCTGGCCAGGAAGTGAGCTGAACAAGTTTGTGAACCCTCAGGTACCCTAGCAGACCCTTCTTCACATAAAGTATGCCCAGTAGGTAATGCAAAGTACATAACTCTTTGCCCAAAGTACGTAAGATACGCAAAGCCGGCCAGTCACATGCAGAAGCGGCTCTTTGCCCAAAGTGCGTAAGATACACAAAGCCGGCCAGTCACATGCAGAAGCGGGACTCCACGTGCGCATGCGCACACGCCGGCCTCATGCCTCACCTCCTGCTGAACACCCATGCAAAGGATCAGCATGCGGCGACTCAGGGCGAGACAAAGTGCACCAGAGTCCGGGGAGCCAAAGCAAAGATATTCCCTTCCCCAAACTGAAGAGCAGATTTTTGATATTAAGTGAAGAGGACAGTCGTTGATGGCAAATTTTCCGTCTAGGAAAGAGACCAGTAGTCAATGTGTCACTGGAGGGGACAATAGACAAAAGGTAGGTGATTTGGGAAGGAATTCAGGTCCAGCTTCCCCAGGGATGCAAAGCGATGAGCGGTTGATGCTCCAAATCTGGTTTAGGAAAGAATGTGGTTTGTAAGGGCTGACTACTTTTTGTGTGTATGTTTTAAAACTAAGTGAATCCTCAAATTTGGAATAGGTACAGTTTATGAGCTGTGATATAAGGCCTAAAACCTGAGCCTATACCAAGTTTAAACTGAAGCTAACCTACACTTATTTTGTGCAGCACCATCCTGTCCATTGTGAACTACTGGACAAAGTGTTATTAAGGCATGCCAGGGCTCTTATACCTTTAATAAATGCTTCCCGACTTCACCTCTACATGGTTTATTGCTTCTTATTAGGCGAAAGCAGCAGAATTACTGATGAGCAGCTTATGAACTGACTCTGCAATAGCCTGCTAAATTGCCATGTAATGACTGTTTCAGTTCCCATGAGGGGGAAACAAATTTCAGTGACTGATTTCCATCCCACTTAGTCTCGCTCTCTTTCTCTCTTTCTATATATAGGTCTAAATATGAAAGTAATGTTATTTTGTTTTAAAAAAGAAAATAATCATTAAAGCCTTTTGCCCAAGCAGGGATCAGGTATGCATGTTAAGGTGCAATTAGCAGGTTATTTATCATAGCTTCCCTAACTATGCTGAACAGAAAGCAGTAAAAGTGGCCAAAGTAAGAATCTATTAACTAAAATTGCAGGGGAGGGGGTGGGGGTTACTGAATGGGCTGGATAAGCATTGCAGAAGGCCGTGGGGGAGGGCAGTGCAGGGCTGGGCAACCAGCATATATCACCATGCGTGCTGTTTACATAGTGTAGCACTGTGTTAAGTGTTGTGTGGCACCTGTTTTAATTGTACAACTAGCTGACTAAAGAAGAGCCTTTGCTTAGCAGTGCTAAAGGGTCCTATTTTGGTACTTGGTCATCACAGGAACTCCAGAAATCTCAAGGCAAGGTCCTGCGTCTCAAAGCATGGACCCTTTTGTGTGCACATGGGCAAAAGGTGGATGGGAATCCCTGCCCATTCCTTTAAATGATTACTCTGTTGTTGTTGTTGTTGTTCCACCATTGTTGTTCCAAGACCCAGGTGGCATCTGCCTCCTTTGTTCTCCCACAGAGGCTGGGGATGGGAAGGCACCGGTCATTTCCCTGGGTGCTGGGCCATCTGTCCTCCTCACCTAGCCATCTTTGCATGTTAAGCATCTGCTTTGTAATTTGATATAACACAATAGGAAAGAGCACACTTCTGTTTCATCCTTTCCTTAAGTACCAGCCTAGCAGACAAAAGACCACACGTTGGTGCAGGGGAGGGGACACGCTGTTCAAAGACGAGAGAATAAAGTGTTGAGCTTACTGATGTAGGAGATTGAGAGCAGAATGGTACATTTGGCTGGATGGAAAAAGTCCTTTTTTCTGTCACTTGCATAGGATTGCATCTTGAATGATTACAAGAAAGGCAACAAGAATCTGAAGGGTCCGTGAGAGATCCCCCAGATGGGACCTCCCTTTGTTGGTTTTGCAATTTCACTTAAATCCCTTCCCACGGTGGGCATTTATGCTGAGCTGTCTTGCAGAGTTTTGATGGACTCTTTATGTGGCAACAATGCTGTAAACTTACTGTGCTGTCACCAGCATCGTACTGTCTATTTAGTCTTTCTTTTACAGATGGGATTTATTTATTTACTTGGTTGATCTATTTGTATCTCAGCTTTCAACCCCAGAGCAGCTAACAAAAACATGCAAACCTTACAAATTCACAATTGTGCAGATAACACCAGAGCCGTTCCAAATGTGTGCTTGCTGGAGTCCTGCAAATCCTCCTTGGAAAACCCACTCACATGCCCTCCTGTTTATTGAAACTCTTGATTTTCCCTTTTCAGTGTTTTTCCTGAAGTTTCATTTTACACTTACAACAGGAAATAGCACACCAATGATGTCGACAGTGCAACCCCCATGCATGTCTACTCCGAAGTAAGCCCCTTTGAATGTGGTGGGGCTGACCTTCTCCCTGGAAGGGACAGGACAGCATCCTAAGACAGCTTCATTGAATTCATAAATTTCACCTATTTTAGCAGGTACATGATATTCATGCTCTTTTGTTTTTACAGGCATTTCAAGAGGGAGTTCCCAAACTGGCTTTGGACTTGGAGACAACCTAGACGTGTGGTGAGAAACCTCAAGCCTGGGGCCAAATCTGGCCTTCCTGAAGTCCCAGCCATGAGGGCACCCCCTTTCCTGTCCCGCATCCTTTCACCCAATCACCAGCCTTTAAGAGACATCCCAGTTCATGTGCGCTTTTTCTGCTCATTCAAAAAGGTTGAAGTGCCTCCACTAAGATACTGCAGTAGAAGCTTTTGGCTAAAGTATGCTGGCATTTTGTGGCATTTGGACTCTTCCCATTCTCCCTTAAACCCCATCACTGCTTGAATGAGGCCTGAGAGCATCTCCGAAATGATATTTGGATCTTGGGATGAGAGAGGCTCCCCTGACTCCACAGCACTCAAGGGCTTTTGGCTTCCTCAAAATTTCTCTAATCATTTATTATTCTCCCATGTCAGCAAAATCCTGTGAGGAATTAGACTTTTTTTTTGCACTGCTCTAGAAATTCTTCTGCTGTTTCTCCAGAGGAAGAATCCCCAACTCATTTCTCATTTTGTCCGGACTTCATTTTTAAATGGCGAAGTTCCATAGCCCAGCAATTATACAGTAGCACCCTATAGTCAGTGTCAGGATGATATGGTACTGCTATGGCACAGAAAGATGGGATAATTACAAAAAGCAATTTAAGACCTTGCTTTGGCCACTGTTCTTGGGTCTTAAGTCTCCTCTTGGTGTACAGAACAAGAGTGAATAAAATTTTATCTATATTAATGACTGCTATTCAGTAGGTACATCCTGAGGTATACAAAACCATGAAAAGCTCAGTTATTATTTTCTGATTAGCAACTGTTGAAACGAATTCAGTTCTGTAGCGAAAATGACATAATTCATGATATAATTGAATACACAAAACTGTGTTTATATAATATCAAGGGTCTTGCTCAAAGCAAGCCAACCCAGGACAACAAAGGTAACACTGACCCTCTACTCCCATGTCAAGTGGATGCAAATCAAAAGCATGTTGTGGATAGTATGTGGGCAACAACGAATGTGTTTGCTCGGATTAAAATGGGCTGTCATCATCTTTGTTGTCCCAGGTGAAAGACATAAATTCAGCAGCTAGAGCTTCTTGTAACACTGCTGGGAGTGGAGAAGTAGCAACCCTAAAGCAATGGAGTGCTTAAATAAGGTTTTATATGTATTTTAGCGGTAGTCTTTTCAATATAGTCATGCACGTATACAGTGCTGGAAAGCAAAATTGGCAAGAAATACAACATTATCCATTGTAACTGTCCTGTCTGATTTAGTAGACACTCCAGATGGCTGAAGCAATGATTGTATAATCAAAAAGAAGACCCTTGCACACCTCAGTACGGTGAATGCCAGAAACCCAAACTTAGCCCATGAAAATTTCAGGGCTGCTTGGTTAGTGACAGGAGCGCCTAGAGTGGCCCACATAACACCTGTATTGAAAGAACCACATTGGTTATCATTTGTGGCCTGGGCCCAATTCAAGGTGCTTGTGTTGACATATAAAGCCCTAAAGGGCTTAGGCCCTGGTCACCTCAAGGAGTGACTGCACCCAGATATGCCTACCTGGCCTTTGAGGTCTCTGCCGGGGGCCCTCCTGCATGAGCCATCCCCTAGGGAAGAGAGAGGGATGGCTGCTGGGAAGAGGGCCTTTTCTGCCGCTGCTCCCCATAGTTGGAATGCTCTCCCCAGGGAAAGTCACCTGGCAGCTTCTTTATACTCTTTTCGGTGCCTGGCAAAGACCTTCCTTTTTAAAAAGCATTTTAATAGTTGATGCTACTAAACCTTCATTTTGTATTTTTATCAGTATTTTCTTAGTATCGTATTTTTAATTGTTATCAGTTTGATTGTGGTTCTTTATCTTAGGATTGCGAGCTGCCCAAAGGTGCTGTAACACAATAAGCAGCATACAAATGTTTTAAATGAATATTAAATGGATGCTGTGGTGTTTTGTTTTATTCTACTCATTTTTATTGTAAGCTGTCCTGAGATACTAGTGATGGATGGGCTAGAAAAGCTATAAATAAATATATTTCTCCAAATGTTTCTACTTGTGTAATTGAATAAGAATGGTTGAAAATGTTCCACACAGCACTGGAAGAGGCTTCCTGGCAGTACCAGCTGCTCAGCAATGGAACGCATTGCTTTACAAGTTGGTGGCTTCTCCATTGCTGGAGATGGTTAAGCAGAGGCTGGACAGTTGACTGTCGGGAATGTTGTGGTTGCATCGTGCACTGCAGAGCCTCCACAGCACAGGGTTTGCCTCTTCCCACTGCATATGGACATATTCCACCTTGGCCACCTTGCTTTTATGTATTTATGGCTTTTATCAACTGTTCAGTTAGCAAAAATCTCTCAGAATGGTCTACGGCAAGGATAAAAACCATATTAAAACATAGCATATCATACATTTTTGATGTCAATAGGACATCTAGAATATCCATCAAAATGTAATGTCATCAACAATTAACAAATCATAATTACTGAATTCATAATACTAATACATAACACAAAAATAGTAGCTAAACCACAGTATGCCAATGACAATATGAATAAAAACCAATGTAAAACTGAATAAATACCCAGCTATTAAAACTGAAAGGTTTTCAGCTGGCACCAGAGTTGGTGTCAGGCACACCTCACTGGGGAGCTTGTTCCGCAGTCAGGGTGCCACAGCCAAGAAGGCCCTTCCCCTCCTGGCCACCTTCCTTCCTTCTTTTAAAGGTGGCTCCCAGAGAAGGACCCTGTAGATTACCTTGGGGTCTGGGTGAGTAGACTTTTTGAAAGTTAATTATAGATTCTTGCAAAGTTTAGTTTCCACTCCACAATTTGCTTATAGGCTGTTTGCATAACTTTGTGCAAATTGCAAAGCAGAGACCTGAATTTAGTACATATTTCATTGGCCTTAAAAAATAAATAAATCATGCCCCATGTTAAAAAAAGAAATCTGGATGCTGGTTGGACTTGCATCAGACGTAGTCTGCTCTGTGCTAATGAACGGGATATAAAAGCCAAAACAATTCAGCACCAGTGCATGGTTGGCAGACTAGAACCCACAGGGCCAAGTCAAGAAAATCTGTCAGATTTTCACAGCCTGATTAGAATCCTTACACACCCCTCGTTTTGACAATGCCCAGCAACTGCTTCTTTGGGGGATGAGGTTATGACACAGGTAAATTTTGTACAAGAACAGTCTTTGATATTCACTGATGTACATGCTCACTTAAATTATTTAGCAGGAAAACAACAAGTGGAAGGGGAAATGAATCCTCTGTGCCCTTTTGACAGCTAAAAGACTGATATTACAAAACTGAAAGAATAAACAGTCACTTCCTATAATGCTATAGATGGAGAACCTTAAATGCTTTTGGTATATGAATGGGTAGCATAAGGACACTGCCTTCAAACAGACACTTTGGATATTTGGTCTGCTTTTGTTGAAACCTATGTATAATTGCAAGGATGTTTGAGACACTTGATACAAATCCATGCAGTTAAATTAAAATAAAGGAATATATCAACTGGATGATCTTCATAAGCACCTCCAGATTGATGCTTCTGGGAGGCAGCCCCAGCTTGTCTTTCCCTGTTGTCTGTTGTCCTCTGCAGACTGCTGGGAGGTACACCTGCAGCTCAGGTGAGGAAGGTGGGTGGATAACTAGGCAGGAAAGGATGGAAGAAGCCCTTGGCTGCCCCATCTCTCACTATATCAGGGAATCCCACAGAGGCATATTGCATTTGTTCAATAGTGAACACAACTCCATGAGGACCTGAGAAGGGTTCCAGAAGGCCAGACTAATGCATGTGGCAGGTGGGAATGCAATGAAATAGTCCATAGGACAGGCAGTGCCACTTCAAATTCCAAGGGAGAAATGCCATTTTCAGTGCTCCCCCATCTAAAGCTAACACATCATTGAATGGACTCTCTCATGTGCTAGTTTTCTAGCTACGCAAACTTTTAAAATGTGTTATGGAGAAGCAAGGAGTAGAAGAGAGTGCCGGGTCTTTCCAAACCACTGAAGGTCCACACAGAAGGACACATTCTTGTATTTGCACATATGACTGCAGTTCACCAGTCTACATTATCTCTAATTCCAGCTTCTTGGTCTCTGATTTATTCAGGTGGGCCCGCAATGTTCATTGGGCATAAGGCACTGAGCTATACACCTAACTTCTAGGCCAGATGTTGGTTTTCACATTACAGCAAGGAAGGCATCCATGCATGAACATCAGTCCAGAAATGATGGACAATTCCAATCCGTGCCTCTCACAACCTCCAGCAGGTACATCTGCCAGAATTGAAGCCAAATTCTCTGCACACGGTACCTGGACTGTTACCTTCTTTTTTCAAAGCAAAACCTAATAGGTAAAAGGAAGGCCAAACACCCAGTTCCTCCTTTAGATTAAAACACAAGAACACTGTAATATGGAGACTCTCAAGGGGGAAAGTTACACCTGTGCCTGCTTGCCTTTGTGGTCACCTTTGATGCTGCACCAACTGTGGAAGGGCACAGCTTCTGCCACCCCCACCGCTTGTCACCTGCGGGCCCTCCTGGCATTTGTGGCGGGGGGGGAAAGGGGGCAGCTGTAATACCTGAGGCTGCTGTGGAGCGGAGCGGAGAGCAGGCAGAGCCTGCACTGGCCACGCCTTCATAGCCAGCCAGTACACAGGGCAGCCCCAGTTTGGTGCTGGTTTGGGCACTGGGTTTTTCTAATAGGGCTCCTGTGGGCTTATTTTTACTATTTTGTCATTCTTGATATGGTTGCATTACTTCATTATTATTATTATTATTATTATTATTATTATTATTATTATTATTACATTTCTATGCCGCTCCTTGCCGAAGCCTCGGGGCGGCTTACAACACAATACAATACAATATAAAATAACAATTAAAATTAATAATATAAAATAAATAAAAAATATAAACGATATAAAAGAAGTTAGAAAAGTTATAAAAGAAAAGAAAAGAAGTCGCCCTGGCCAGATAAATAAGTAAATATTGTTAACAATTAAATATTTGGTATTGTTCTTTGATATTGTTTTCTATCTTGTTTATATATATATTTATTTTTATTTATATAAAATATATTGTTATTCATTGTAGTATGTATTATTTATTTTGGATTTTAGTGTACTGTTTGATTACGTATTTAGAATACCGGCAGGAGAGCCCAAAGAGCTATGGGGTGGAATAGAGATGTAAATTGAAATGAAAGTAAATAATGATCACAGTTATCTTTCATACCCTCTTTTTCCCTTCCAGAAAGAAACATGCATGAGGAGACTAGGTTTATTTGGTGTTTTCTGCTCACCTGCAATCTCTGTTTGCCATTGTTCTATGGCAACGTTGGTCCATTGGTTTTTCAACAGCGAAAACATAAAAGCACTAGGCGAGCATAAACAGGAAACTTGTGTTTAGGTGGGAGTTCCCAGGAATTTTGTTCTGCTGACCACAAAGGCCATGGGAGAAAGGAAGTAGGAAAAACACTGTAAATACCTGGGTGACTAATAACTTTGCACTACTCATCTGGCCTTTTTGGGACATACAGCTCTCTGCT